TCATAATCAGCATCATCCTCATCCTCATCCCTATCATCATCACCATCATCAGCATCGCCATCATCATCATCATCACCATCATCATCAGCACCGTCATCATCATCAACACCACAACCATCATCATCATCACCATCATCATCATCGTCACCATCGCCATGATCAACATCAACATCAGCATCAGCATCATCACCGTTAGCACAAACATCATAGTATTGTCATCGTCATCGCCAACATTTTCGAAACCCTCTTCGTTCGTCATGGAACTGTTCTGGGCCGCCATAGGGGTCTCTGGGCGTCAGTGTGTTTTCATGGGAGTGTCTTCGGGCCCCGTGGGAGCTGGCTGGGGAGCCTCGCGGGAAACTTGTTCGCAACGTCGTATCCCGTGCCATGGTACTTGGGTCACCGTGGGGTTTGCGAAATGGATGCAGGGGTCACAAAGGATGCGAGGGTTGGGTTCATTTGGCCTGACAGTGGGTGGGGGGGTGTAGGGCGAGGATGGCGTCCTGTTGCGATTGGCTCAGGATGGTCTCTGGGGAGCCTGGAGTACGGTCGTGAATGTCGGCATAGCGTGTCGCGGTACCCGCCTTGGCGACACGCTATGCCGTGCACAGCTGGTCGTGATGGCCGTCTTCATCATAATCCTCATCATCATACTCGTCATCGTCATCGCAATCGCCATCGTCAGCGTCATCGTGAGTTTATGTGCTCCAGAGAAGCGTTAGCGGAGCACGTTAAATGGGGGCTGTCGGACATGTCCATCATCATCATCATCATCATCATCATCATCATCATCATCATCATCATCATCATCATCATCACCATCATCATACTCATCACCACCATCATCGTCACCATCATCACCACCATCATCATCATCATCAGCATCATCATCATCATCATCATCATCATCATCATCACCGTCATCATCGTCATCACCATTGTCAACACAACCATCATCATAGCATCGTCGTCGTCATCGCCAGCATGGTGAAAGTCTGCTTCGTTCGTCATGGAACTGTTCTTGGCCGTCAGAAAGGGGGCTCTGGGCGTGAGTGGGTTTTCACAGTGGGTGTCTTGGGGCCCCGTGGGAGCTGTCTGGGGCGCCTCGTGGGGCCCGCTTGGGCAGTCGTGGGGTCCTCTGGGGTTGCCTCGGGGCCTTCGTCGGCCGTCTTCAGGCGCGCTTGGGAAGGCTGTGGGGGGCTGTTCGGGCGTCTCGTGGACACCCTTGGGAAGGCTGTTCGGGAAAGTTGCAGGGAGCTGTTCGGCCGTCCTGGGCGTCTTGGGTCGTCATGTTGGTGAGGGGGGTTTCTGTGAAGCCATCTGGGGCTTGTGGGGGGCCCTCTTGAAGCTATCTGGGGCTCTTCTTGTCGGGGCGTGTTAGAGCGTCCTGGGCCGTCTCATAGCGAAGTGGGAGGCGTCTGGGGCCGTTCCAGAGTACGCCGGAGGTGGACACGCGCACACTTTAAAATCCGGCAAACATTTTTTGGTTCAATGCGTGGAATGCGGCCCTGGGGCCCTCTTGGGCAGGTTTTCGGCGGCTTCGTGGGGCGCCTTGGAGGCATATGTGGTGCCTGGAGGCTATCTTAGGCGTCTGGAGTCGCTATTTCGGAAAGGGGGGGGGCATGCCCTGGATCGTCTTTGGCATAAGGGGGGGCTGGTTGGTGGCTTCGGGGGCCCTCCGGAGACCATCTGGGGCTGACTGAAGCTGGACACGCGCACGCGTGAAAATCCAGCAACAAACCTTTCGGAAATGCGTGTAATTCGGCTGTGGGGGCTTTCCCGGGCAGCTTTTCGGCGGCTTCGTAGGGCGTCTTGGAGGCACCTTGGGCTTTCTAGAGGCTGTCTTGGGCGTCTTGGGTCGCTATTTCGGCAAGGAGGGGCTCCCTGGATCTTGTTGGGTAGGTCTACGGGGCTGGTTGGCGGCTTCGTGGAAGTCTGGGGGCCCTCTGGGGCTGTTTTTGGGCCGCGCTGGGAGTTTCCTGGGCCGTCTGTGGACAGTCTCAGGGCGAATTCGAGGGCGTCTGGGGCCGTTTCGGATTGCACCTGAGCTGGACAAGCGCACGCGTGAAAATGCATGAGAAACCTGGCAAAAAGGACGAAGTTCGGCCCTTGGGGCCCTCTTGGGCAGTTTCTTTTGGTTTCTTGTTGGGGTGTCTTGGAGGCATCCTGGGCTGCAACGGCTGTCTTGGGCGTCTCGAGTCGCTGCTGTGGTGAGCGGGGGCGGCTCTGGGCTTCTCCGGGGCGGCTCCCTGAGGGCCCATGGCACCCCTGGCGACGCGGGGCAGCTGACAGGGCGGCCCCCGGGACGGCTCCTGGAGGCCCGGGGCAGCCATGGCGACGCGGGGCAGCTGGCAGGCCCTCCCCCCGGTAGCCCTGCAGGCATGTATGTATGCATGTATGTATGGATGTTTGCATGCATGCATGCATGCATGCAGGCAAGCATGTACGTACGTACGTACGTGTGTGTGTGTGTGTGTGTGTGTGTGTGTGTGTGTGTGTGTGTGTGTGTGCGCGTCTGCCTGTCTGCCTGTCTGTCTGTATGTTTGCTTGTTTGTGTGTATGTATGAATGAATTTATGTATATACGCATGTCTATATGCATGCATGCATGTATGCACGTATGTATGTATGGATGCATGCATGTGCGCGCGTAATTATTATGGATTTGTTTGTGTGTCTGTTTGTACGCATGTATGTACATATACATACACGTTGCCATTGCATATGGGCCAGCAGGGGCAAGAGTGTGATACTATCCGGCAGTGGCAGCGAGTGGTGCACGCGTGGACCAGCGCGTGTGAGACATGGACGAAGGCAGTCGAGCGGGACGAGCGGCACAGTGGGCGGTGCGCGGCCATCGGCTGCGCTCCCAGGTCGTGGAGCCGAGGGCTGGCTGTCAGAACCGTGCGCAGGCAAGTCGAAACCAACTGCCCTCGGCAGCTCAATCCGCTGATCCACCCAACCCAACCGGCCACTCCGCCACCCAGCCAGCCCGTCAACCAACCAGCCTACACAAATCACCCCGCCACCCGGCCAGCCCGCTCGCCCGCGCACCCCCGCCACCTGCCCTCCGTCAGCGCCGAGAAAGAGGGGACACGTTTCATACCAGCGAAAACGAGGAAACCCACCCTCCAGGGGCGAGACGGGTCATCGGGGGGAAGGGCAAATCGCACCGTAGTGTGGAGGAAGTGGCTTCGCGCAGGGGATGTCAAAAACGGTGTTGGGCCTCAAGTGTGGGGCTGTCGTTCCTTTTCTACTCTTCACCGCGCGCCACTTCTCAACGGAAAGGCACCCATTCTGTCACTTCTTTCAGGCCCCGCGCCGGGCTTCTTAGAGGGCCCACCACGACAGTCCCGGCAAGCCAAATCGAATAGCTATATTTTGGAGCGGACTCTCGCGTGTGGTTCTCGACAGCCTAGGAGGCCCAAGGGGGTCTCAGAAAGCTCCTGGAAGCTCACGAGGTCGCAGAAGGCCCTGCGGAGCCGGATGAGGCCCCAACAGGGCCAGGAGGCCCCGCGAGGCCCCAGGTGGCTCTAGCAGGTCTCATTCAAAACTCCCCAGGAGGTCCAAGGAGGCCTCAGGAGAAGCTCCAGGAGGCCCCAGGAAGCTTCAGGAGGCCCCAGGAGGTCCAAGGAAGCCCTAGGAAGCCCCAGGAGGTCGCAGGAGACCCCAGGAGGCCCGCGGAAGTGCCAGAAGGCCCCAGGAGGTACCACGATGTATTGCGCGGGAGGGAGGGAGGGAGGGAGGGAGGGAGGGAGGGCAAGAGGGAGGGAGGGAGGACGGGCGGGCGGGAGGGATGGAGGGAGGGCGGAGGAGGAGGAGGACGAGGAGGAGGAGGAGGAGGAGGAGGAGGAGGAGGAGGAGGAGGAGGAGCAGGAGAAGGAGCAGGAGGAAGAGGAGGAGGAGGAGGAACGATACATAAGAATAATGATTCTGTGTGCAATACTACTAGTATTCCCATTACCCGCAATACTTTTAGTACTACTAATATTAATGCTACGATTACTGTTCATTGATATCGTAGTACTAATGCCAGTAGGCATGAAACACACATACTAATACGAAGGACAATGATGATACAATTAATACGATTACTGGTAATACGGATAAGGCACATAAGGAACTACCACGAATAATAATATGAATACGGTTAACACATTCAAGAATACTACTAATACTCAGAAGCCGGACAATCAGAATATTGATACTAATGCGAAGGAGACTCCGAATCACCAGAAGGTGAGGAGGAAAGGGGATAGTCACGAGGACGAGCAGGAGGAGGAAAGGGAAGAGGTGCATGACCAGCAGGCAGCGGAGGACCAGAAGGAGGAAGAGGAGGAGGAGGAGAAGGAGGAGGATGAGGAGGACGAGGATGGATAAACGGAGGAGGGAGGGAAGGAGAGAGGAGGAAAAGGAGGAGGAGGCACAGGACTCGGAGGAGAACTCGGAGGAGGAGGGTGAGGCCAATGAGTCGGATGAAGGGTGCAGGAAGCGGGAGGAAGATTTCAAGGACGCGGAGGGTGAAGAGAAATGACACATGAGCAGAACTGCACAGCGTGATGAGAAAGCAGGCGGCAGCAGAGTAGAGAGGATATGAACGTAGGATGCGATAGGGCCAACACCAAGCATCACGACGTTATTCCAAGTAGTACGTTTGATCGCACTGGCTTGTCACGTTTCAGCTCGGAGCCGTGCGCAACGGTGTCCGCCCTGCTGCACATGAGTGCGCACGAGGCCCCAGGAGGCGTCAAGCAACACCTTTTCGACCTTCCGAGAGCCTTGTGAGAATGTCTGGGAGTCTCGAGGTTGAACCTCTAGCGAAAGAACGCGAGAGGAGGGACAACACGACGCTCCAGAGAGTAAACTGCATTCAATTGGTGTCCGCCTCTGTGAGAGGCGTTGCAGGGTAAAGAGGAGGAAAGAGGGAGGAGGAGAAAAGACGATGTAGGACGAGGAGGAGGAAGACGAGGAGGAAAACGCCCCGCGGCAAGCGGATGCGGCCTCGGCCCTGAGGTGGACCAACTCGAGGGTGGACAGCAACCTGGGCATCCGCTCCAAATGCATCACCCGGCCAATGCCCCATTCGCGCCCATCCCCAGTCGAAGGTGGATAAGAGTGGAGGATGGTGGAAAAGGGAGGAGGGTGACGTAGATGCATGCTGACAATAGGAGAGGGGTGGGAAGAAGGAAAGAGGACGAGAACATAGGACGAGGAGGAATATGGAGGAAGGAGATAAAACGAGGGAGGGCGGAAGGAGGGAGGAGGAGGAGGAGAACAGGGCACGGGTGAAGGCTGCGGACAAGAATGAGGAGGGATTGGGGTGGGTCGGGCGGGGGTGGGGGTCGGGGGATAGGAGTGGGAGGAGCGGGGGAGGGCGATGAGGTGGAGAGGTGGAAAAATCACACCACAAACTTGCTCATGCCGAAATGCAGCTCCACACCCTCAACCCTCCCATCACAACTTCATGCAGGTGATCATTTCAACTACGGCGAGCTGCCGAAAAACAACTGAGGGTCCCATGGGCCCCATCTCACGGTCCGGCAAATACGGAACTGGAAGCCAGTCCGGTAGACCTGCCAGTCGTCGTCGTCGTCGTCGTCGTCGTCGTCGTCGTCGTCGTCGTCGTCGTCGTCGTCGTCGCCGTCGTCGTCGTCGTCGTCGTCGTCGTCGTCGTCGTCGTCGTCGTCGTCGTGGGCGTAGGCGGCGTGGTGTCGTTTTGTTGCCGCCTAGCCGTGCCGAGCTGTCGATTCTAGTCCCCGGGTGTGGGATGATGGACTGCGGTGGGTGCTTGTCACCTCGCCGCCCCCTGCGGAGGCGCGGGGGTGACGGGGGCCGACTGGGCGTGTCCCGTAATTACCCGTCGCCAGGAGCTCGGAGTCGTCTCGCCGAGGGTGCGGGGCAGTGGAGGGGGCCCCCTCGTCCCCTCCTCCTGCTTGCCCCTCCTCTCCTCTGCTGCTCCGCGTGCTGTCCCGGCACGAACTCGCAGAAGCGGAGCAGCCCGGCAGGCGCGAAGTGCGCTTCCTGCCGAAGGCGTGCGCGCGAGCTCTCCCGAACGTGCGTCGGGGGCACGCCGGGCACGAAGAGGCGAGCCACCTGGGAGCCCACCTCGAGGGCCAGGAGGCCGAGTTCTGGGCAACTCGACCGTGCTGAGCTAAGGATCAAGTTGGGCCTGTCCCCCTACAGGGGGATTTTCGACGAAAAACCAAACATATACAAAAAATACCCCACATGCTCAAAAACTAGTCTCCAGACTATTGTTTTGACTACTTTTGAATGTTCCCCCTCTATAGAGGGACAGGCCCGACTTAAGCCAAGGATCGTGGCCCCCTCTCTCTCCTCACTGGGTGGCCCCCTCCCCCTTCGTCCTCCGAGGTCTCGCAGCTGCGCCCTGCGTTGACACGAGGCGCTTTTGGGGGATCGGGCGGGGGCCCCTTTCGAGGTGGGTGGCCCCGCCCCAGACCCCCGACGTCGTGATTTTTCCCGACGTGCCCCTCAGAAACCTGAACCCCTTCCCGGGGATGTTTTTGTTGACGGTCCCGAGGCCCAGGAAGGGCCCCTCTGGAGGCCGAAAATGGCGAAAAACCTCCCGTCGTGATTCTTTCACAGGGCGAGGGGGTCTGGGATCGGTCCCTCTCCCAGGCCTTCCCGCTCCTCGCGCTCCTCCCTGGGCAGCGTCGGGGACCCGCCTCCGCAGCGCGGGGCGGTGAGACTTCTCGCCCCCACTGCGCTCCAGGGAGGATGCCGCGGAGGCCGCCGTTGGTGGCCAGCTAGGCTCGGTGGCCCCTCAGCTGCCGATGCCTGCCCGAGGCCTCACCATGCCAGCCCACCTGGGGGCCTAACCAACCAACCATTGAACCTAACCCTTGGCTGTCGGACAGTGGCTCGCCTCTCCTGCCACCATTCGGGGCGATCCGAGCACCCCCGGAACGCCTTCGGCGAGACGCAGCTGCCGGAGAGCACCCCGAGGCGATGAAACCTCCAAGAACGTCCGAGAACCTCCGACAACCTTTACACACCTGTGAAGACCTCCTCCTCCTCCTCCGTCCCCGATCCTCGCTCCTCGACCCTTCTTTTCTTTCTCCTCCGCCTCCTCCTGCTCCTCCTCCTGCTCCTCCTCCTCCTCCTCTTCCTTTTCTCCTCGCTCTCCTACTGCTCCTACTGCTCCTCCTCCTACTGCTCCTCCTCCTCCTCCTCCTCCTACTGCTCCTCCTCCTCCTCCTCCTCCTCCTCCTCCTCCTCGCTCCTCGATCCTCCTTTTCTTCCTCCTCCTCCTCCTCCTCCTCCTCCTGCTCCTCTCAACGTCAGTGGGGAGCCTATCGTCCGACTCGGCCAGCCCGAGCGGGTCGAGGTTGCTGCGCAGGGTGGCGCAGAACAGCACCGGGTCCTTGCGGCTCGAGGGGGGTGGGGGCGGGCCGGGGGCGTCAACGGGGAGGAGAAATAGGCAGAGCTTGGGGAGGAGGAGGAGGAGGAGGAGGAGGAGGAGGAGGAGGAGGAGGAGGAG